CACATCGAATACATTTGAATTACTGCTATTAAACATTAAAACTGAGAATAAAGGTGATGTAAAAGCAGTGATTGGAGGTTTTGGAAGCTCACTGGAACATCAAAGTTTGGGTGCGGCCCTCGGTGTTAAATCAAAAGCTCACTTGGGCACTCTGATCGATTTTTATGCCCACCCCTGCTCTATGATAATATCAAAGATTGGCTTTATATAGGGTATGTACAGTAGTATTGAAAATTTGACTATATATTGGTCATTTCTAAAGTTGAATAAGTTTTTTCATGAACAGGAATATAAGCCGACCCTTCCAAAATTTTCCCGATTTCATATTTAATGAGGTAGGCTTATACTGGAGGAACTATGGTACATATAGAAAGGAAAGAATCAAAACCAAAATCAACAGCAAGTGTAACAGACGATATCAAATATTTTATGCCTTTTTCTTTAATATTGTAGGAAGGACGAGATTAAGATTAAATGAATTCAATAAATAAATGAATCAGTAAACACACATAACCAAACAACACAAGTTTCAGATAAAATCAAATGCATAATTGTTCTGCCTATACGCATATCCGTATTTTAATCAATTAATTTAAAATTACTTTTTTTTTTTACTTTAATAATTTAAATTGGCATTTCCTTTGTTGAAAAATGTTGGTGAAAAACAATAATACATATAGACATATTTAATTTCTTTTTTCTGATGTCGAGGTTGTTTAGTTAGGCAAGACTTTTTGCAAACAATGTTTAGCGAACCCGCCGCTGGCTAATAAAGATGATTTTGAATAAAAATATAATTATATTTTTGGCCAATGAGCGTAACAGTCGCCACAAAAAATGTTTTTATTTATTTTTATTAAGCCCACCGCTGCCTTGAAATCTCCAAAAATAAGATAAGTATATTTCTTCCTGATTGTATAAATTTAAAGCATTTAACCATTCCATCTGTTGACATTTAACAATAAAATTATATTTCTATTTTCTCCTCTGGGTGTTTTTGGCAAAAACCATTTGCTAAATAAGAAAACAAAATTTTATTTTTATTTTTGTTCCACCCTCATCTGACATCTTAAAAAATTTTTTTTTTTTAAATATTCACATTACATTTGTCAGCATTCAGCTACAATACCCCAGAATCAGTATTTGACCAATTTTAGGTTTTTTCCTGTTTATGCTATACAATAGATTTGAGAAAAATTCTATCAATAATATCAATTACCAAATCTAAATGAAAAGTATATTAAAATATATATTTTTTAAAATACACACCTTAATATTAAATTACTGACTTAAGAGTCTTTGAAAGCTGTTTCTATAAAACTTATATTGCTGATGATATCCAATGAATTAAATATGTATAACTTCGGCAATAATAATTAATTTTCATAAATTCAATCAATGTTAAATACCTAAAGAATTTAAATTAAAAAAAATCTCAATTTTGATTGTTAATGACAAATGTAAGGTTTTGCCAAGAGCTGGTCACAAGAAATAGCCAAAAAAGAAATTCAAGCTAAGACTGCTATTGGTTCTTCGAAATTAATGACTAAAGTGACATCAAGAATCTATTATATAGGGAAAGAGGTCACAAGATTAGTCAAGATGCCGGCTACAATTACGCATGATTTGGTAAGCTACGCACAGTTAATAACAAATCAAATTGATTGTAATTGTTTGTAGGCTAACAAATTACAAAAGCACTCATTTATAATTAATAGTGCTTTTGTAAACAGTCTCACTTTCAACAAATCAAAGACTCGCTGGTAGTACATCACACATATTCCCATGTATCGGCTGAGCACAAGCATCTACCAGGAAACAAATATCTATGGATCACATTCAATCAGGCCGCTTGAATCATTCCCAAGGGAGGACTAAATCCCATAGGATGTCGATATAGATAGTGATACTGGGGCCAGGAGCCAATTAGCTTAAAACACTGAAAAAACAACTATCTCGCCCACATCAGTCATTTTTAACATGAGCCGATCGCCAAGGTAAACAAGTTAATTAATTTAAAAGTGTTTCCTGCCTGGTGCCATGGGTAGCTAGTATAAGCTGGGAACTTAAGGATTAAGTTCACTAAACGTCAAATGTGGGCATATGGATTGCTATTATTCATCATTGCAAAAACAAGTGTTACATAGGTACTATACAAATAAAATAATGATTACAATTATATTAAATAGTTCAAAGAAAAACAAAATCACAGAAAACCAGTTAAGCTAAATACATATACCATCAACCATCTTTAGAGATATTAACTGTCACAGTATTTATTTATTTACAAATATTGAACCAGGGTGACACAATCAGTGGAAATCTTGCTAATGCGAGAATACTCCTGAGGGCGCAAACAAGCAGAGTAGAGTATGTCAGTAATCTTGAGTCACTGATAGTAGGTTCACGCTGTCAGAGAGGATGTGTTATATATGTGAGTCAAAAACAAACAAAAGTGTAACTGAGGATTGCCTTCCCAAAACCCGCATTGGTGACCAAAAAATGAAAATTGACTTTTTAATATATTTTTATTTTCCACATTGTAATGTTTTTTAAAATGATGAGTCACATACTGGAATCAACTTACTATTGCTATTAAGTTAAGGCTATGTTTACACACACGGCGTAAGGCTGGCTTAAGCATGGCGTAGTGTACACCTTTGTGTGTGAACTAGGCAGTGGCGCTGTTAAAGCCACTCACTACGCCACGTCCTTGGTGTTATTAACGCTACCTGCAGACCCCAGATTAGCTAACGCCACTGAGCTAACGCCAGTGATGCTTGAATGATTTGACCTCATTTCAAGAGATAGACCAATCACGATTGCAATATATTAGCTACTTTGGTCTCTTTCCTGTGCTCTCTATAAATGAAATGGTAAAGGGGTTCTTTTTCTATTGCATATCTTACTTAGTTATAATGTATATGATTTGTTGATCTTGTTTTGTAGGACATTTTAACCTATTTAAACTGTCTATTAAAACCTGCAACACCAACAATGCTAGCTGAAAAATCAAAGTAAAATTGTTCATTTAAAATACAATAATCATATAAGTTCACTTCGAACAATTCACAGATTTAAAAGTTTTACTGATACACTGTTAATTTTACTACAGTTAAGAACCCGTACATTATTTAAAATTTAAAACTATTCACCTATAGGTCTATATTACTACTAGTTTAATGCCAGCGTTAATATAGCGAACGCCGTTTGTGTGAACACTTTGTAATTTTAATCCGTGAATTAGCTTACGCCTGGCGTAAGCTACGCCAGTCTTACGCCGTGTGTGTGAACATAGCCTATGTGTAACAGATGGCTTTTCTGTACTAAAGTATACAATCCCGCCACATTCTTATGCTAATTACTCAGTTTAATAATAAGCGACAAACAGTAAACTGTTTTTTGGATAGCAAGCCTCAATTGAAGTGTAAAGGATGATGATGGTCATAGGCATAGGCTGATTTTGGTCTTGAAGGGGGAGGGGGCGGGGTGCGAAACGACCTGGGAGGTGTGAAACATTGAAAATACAGGACTATTTCCTTATTCCAATGAATACTAAATATAGTAATCATATTTAGTATTTTAACCCATTAAATAACTAACTAATTTGAAGTCATGGTGATGGAGATGCGTCCTCACCCAAATGCTTCAGTCTACACCTATGAAGTTGACTAGCAGTAACATCACTAAGATTAGAAACAAAAATTTGTGGAAAGTGAAATACCTATACGGAATACGAGCAAAATAAAAACATAATCTTACACTTCAATATCATTAAATAAGGGACTTGAACAAAGTTAACATAACCAATTCAGTAATTTCTTTTACCTTGGCTGTTTTATATAATTTGACACAAGTTTGATATCAGAAGAGACATATTTGAATAACTGTCTCCCTTGAGGCACTGGATACAGTACACAAAATGCAAAACTCACCTTAAAATTTGAATGCAATTATGAACCAACAAAGTTATACTATATAAATTATATAATATTAATTACTCAACAAAATATATCTAAATTATTTGTAGAACACACTTTGAATAGGGGAATAAAAAAAAAAATCCAAAAATGTTTTTCCGAACCCCCCCAAAAAAATGTAAAAATATGGAATTAGAAAACCCATAGAAAGCCTTGACCTTAATAATCATCATAAAAACATCAAAATTATTTTGACAAACAGGTCAAACTGACACGAAAAAATATGCCACTTGTTCCCTCCTTTCCTGTTAAATCTGAAGAGCCAATTTTGGCGTTAAGTATATTCATTACCGTGGTTAACAACCTGAACATGAATTAATTTGTGCTTAATAACCAGAACATGAATAAATTTAACCATAATTGCCAATATTACTACCTACCACCTTCAGTGTTACAGCCACTATAAAACATTTCTCACGGTTGTATTTATATAAAACAAAATCGTAAAAATGGAGAATATATTTCGAAATAAGTTCTAAAAGTTCAATGAGTATGGCTAATTGTTGCGCAGGAGCAATTAGTCAAACAATATTACTAAAAAGATAATAAATTGCAACGGCACTATTCAGATTTTAAAGATATACTTTGTGTATTGAGTTAAATCTTAATTTAAATAAATATTTTGTTTGGTAACTTTGTATAGCTGTTAGCATCCAAATGAAAATCAATAACCTGAAAAATTGACAATAAATGGATGTATAAATAACAGTTTCCAATTCTTTTGGGCACTAAAATTTGTTGTAAAAATCTCCATAAACCAGTGAAAATATAAAATACCTTTTTTTAACAAAAAAAATCTGTGTCTATAGTGAAAACTACTGCTATATTATTGAAATTTTTTAGTTCTATGTATAAATATTAAAAAAATATATGGATAATTGATATGGATTAAAAGGCACACAAGAAAATCCCCTTACAACTCCACTCCTTCACACAAATAGAAAAAAAAAATATTGATTATATAGACACTAAGTACATCTGTCTGAGCCATAGTACTGTGTTTAATTTTAACAGACTTACTTTTTCTCCCTATGAGGGCAGTATTTACGTTTGTGGTTCAACTTTCCACAGATATGACAGCCTGTCCTGAGGTCATTGCACTTGTGATTTGGCAGCATACACTGTTTGCAGGTCTGACAATGAATCCTTACTAAGAAGACAAAAAATAATCATAGAAAATAAGCGAGTGAACAGTGTCATCTCAGTACAAGGTCATATGATGCAATTGTCATTGAAGAAATGTATTTTTCCCATGGATCAACATTTCAATATAAAGGAGGAAATAGTTCTTGGCCTACGAACTTTAACAACTCTTAACTTTTAATCATTTTTACATTCCCTACTTATGCTTACTGGCAGAAAAATTGCAACATGTCATTTCTTTTCAGGATAAATAAAAAATATTGGTGTTAACTGAAGTAAAACAGTTCAACATAAGTTAGTAAGATTTTTAAAATTGAATGCGATGCATGCTGGAAATCAATATGTTGGTGAAACAGCAAGGGTCCCTAGTAATCAAAAGCAATGAGTGAAATTACTTTCAGCATTTGTAAAATATTACTAGACATAACTATTATATGGTAAACAAAAATAAATGTACACTAAAAAGACTTGAAAAATCTAAAAAAGCAATAAGTCTAAGAAAACACAAAAGAGACTGAAAAATCAAAGAATCAATAGTCTCCAATGAGTGTTCAAAATTCCCAGCAGGCGTCCAAACAAAAGTTTAAGAACATGCACCTTTAAATGCCCAGAAATAGCATTCTCAGGCAGTAACACTATTTTCAAAGCAGTGTTCCCGGACGAATAATTGGTTTCTTTCCCGACGAGGGTCTTGGCCACTCGATGTGGTCCTGTGCGATAGTGGCACAACCACTGTGCTGGGGCGAACACCTCCACAGAAAATAGCTAATAACTTAAGGTTATAAGTTAGATAAGTTAAAGTATCACAATATAATTTTTTAAAGGAGCAGGTTTCATGTGGTGGAAAAATTCAGGGTATTTAGGACCATAAATATTTAGGACAATCAATCAACATATAGTAAAGGAATTGTTACAGTTATAAAAGCACCTGTTGATCTGGATATATGTTGGCCAAACCATTTTGCCAAGTGGTACAATATATCAGAATGAATGTATCTGGGAGATATCATATATAATGTCCATAGGGAGAAAAAGTATAATTCATATAAAGGCCAGGTAAATAAAAAAAATTGTCTCTTGTTCCAGCTTGTTTCCTTTCATAAAGCTACAGCTCATTGGTCTGTAGTTGTCTAAGTACAACATAGTTGGTCTAGGGGACCTACGTGAAGACATTTATATAATCTTGGTCCCTCTTCAATCCATCCACCGATCTTAGCTAGAGTGTTAGTTTGCACAAAATATATAAGTGGGCATAATTATGATTACCAGGATAATTTTAAAAACTTTTAATGAGTATGTCAGTGGCAGATTCAAGGAGCCCAGGCTAAATAGGCACCATAGCTACCGGGGGCTTCATCCCTGGACCCTCACCTGGGCCCTAGGCACTCCCCTGGCCCCCAACAAAGGCTTGGGCCTATGGCATAAGGCATTCTTATTTTGCATTTTCTCCCCCCCCCCCCCACTTTCCACCACGGATCGACGTCCCTGCAAAATATGAACAATTTGAGGCTGAGGTAAAATGTCAAATGAGGTTTTTATATTTAAAAAAATAGAAAATTTAACATAAATTATGCATATCTTAAAGGTAGTACAGTAGGTGTGGCTATGTAATACCCTCTAACATAGAGTACAGTAATATACTACTGTACAGTAATACTTTTTTTATGTTTGGAAAGTGTGTAAAAATAAGAACAAAATAAGAACATTCTGAGCCTGAAATCGGCAAAAAAATCAGAACACCGAGTCTGGGTAAAATTTTAATGTTTTAAAAAAAAAAAAGGGAAAAAAAAAGAAGTGTATATTAAAACCAAGAACATTAATATCTCCTTAGTTCAGCATACACAACTTATTTTCACCAAAATCCAGATTCCAACTATTTCATCAATTAAACAGGAGGGGCAAAATGATTCATTTTGTGGTGGTGGGTCATATGGTTTCCTGCACATACCATAGTTGTCCTACTTGTATTAAGATTTAATTACTACAACAATTTGCTATTTACCACAATCAATATGTTGGCCTCTTTTTTTGTGAACTAAAATTCCAAGAGTTCACAATTCAACATTTTAATGTTTTCAAAAAGTTTAATAAAATTATTAATTATTATACATAAATCATACATGAATTTATTTTTTTTAATAGTTGAGAAACTAGTTTACCAGATATATTACAGTATATAATAGAAATAATATATGGCAATAGATACTCTAAATAAACTTTCATTTCATTACACTAAGGCAGTGGTTCCCAACCTTTTTGCATTCGCGGACTCCTCGTGACAAGTTAAAAGCATACACAGACTCCCAAGCATAAGCTTAGCTATTTAATTTTTCTGGCTAAACCCCTGCTCCCAAGTCTAGGTTTATTCATTGTCGATATCCCACCAATAGGATAAGATTAGATAGAAGATGATTTGCCATCAAAGTACAACATGAAAGTTATTTCATTATTGATAATTAAGGCTCCTATTAATGATAAGCAGTATTAGATATTTATCATCACACTGTTAAGAAAAATAATGGAATCATGAACATTGGTCTTAAGTTTAGCGTGGACCCTTTTGACTTGGTGGAACCAATTAATTTTCGGTTGGGAACCACTGCACTAGGGAGACAATATACTATCTCCCTGATTACAAATGTAGTTCAGCAACATAATATGTGAAGTGCAGGTATTCTTCTAATAAATGCGAACAATTCTGAATTGGTGTGAAAGAGGTTGGGGAAGGTGGTTTGGCACAGCTATCACCATTCCGGTTCTGAACTTTGTGGTCGGGAGTTCGAGCCACATGCTGACCATCCTCGACCATACTTAGTTATCCCAGCTTGCACTGTTGATGGGCTGTGAGGGGCTCATGCTATGTTTCAGTCTTAGGTGCGAGTATTTAATGGCTTATAACTTAATTAAATACTTTGTGGGCCGCCTCTCGTCAATAATGACCGTAACGTCAGGCATACCAAGCAAAAAAAAAAGCAAAAGTGAAGTGATAGGAATGAAATGGCACTAAGCTTCAGGACTTGCTATATACACACACCTGAGTCAGATAGTCCCTTTAACTTTCAGGCGCATTCTTCCTTGACAGTGGAATATTATATTCTATTGTTTATTAAACCTGTTAATAGTGGCAGTATTCATCACTGTTGGTTTTTGAATGAATAAAAATATATGGACAATAAAAGGAAAATGAAAGTATAGAACCTATGAGAAAGCCAACTATATAACATTTCTTAATATACAAAACACTTCATAATAATGTCTTTATTGTCATCATGCAAATTAAAACAGTATGAAACCTTGGAAAGTGATATCAAAATTATATTTATAAATGACAGGAGATGGACACAAGACATGAAATAAATTTATCACATATTTTTCATGATAATTTCTGACATTTTGACAAGCATAAAAAAGAATGAGAGTAGATATCTTTAGGAACCGACGACAAAATCCGGATGGATTTTTTTCAACTTTAAACTGAGTTCCAAGATAAATGTATCATTCAAATTCTAAACTGATGTTTTTCTTAAACTATACTGGACAATCATTTCACTTCAAATTAAATTTCTGGATAACCATGTCAGAAGATTTTGACTCTTTAAACTATTGCTTAAAAGCTAATATTAGAGCTGTGACTTAATGATCACCTTTCAAATCCAGTTTTCTGGGTTCAAATCCTTTAAGTAACAGGATTTATTCACACCTTTTAAAAAACCTGAACTTTAAAGCTGTGTGTGACCAAGATGAAGGATAGTCTTACTTGGCTAAATTTAATCACTGATTGAATGTAAATACAGTTTTAGATTTTAACTTTAGACAGTGGCTAAATATTACTTGTCACATGTAAATGAATGTAGACACATCAAAATTAAAGCTTGTGGGCGATAAACATTTCCTGGGCATGATTCACTCCATTAAAATGACTGTGAGACAAGGGTAATTTTACTAATATAAAGAATGTTATGCAGGCTGGTTGCATCTAGCCTGCATAAGAACTTTAAATTGATCATGTTTATAACAGGCAGATGTAGGGAGGATGTCTCTTTTGTTTTTATATTTGCCACTGACATATATTGTAAATACAAAATGTTACGATATTTCGTTACACAGCATAAAATGAACACACATTTCCATTCATCTACAATATACTGTATTAAAGCACAGTTTTTTTTGCAGGAGGGTGCGACCAAACCCACCTTCACCTTCCTATCACCGCAATCCATAGCTAGCCACCCCTTACACCTCAATTTTCACTAAAAAAAATGGTACCCTTAGTTAAAAAAATTCTAGACCTGCTTCTGTACAATACAAAAGAATGTTTGTTCTACTTTGCAGGAACCTCTAGTTCTCATTGCTGTTAAAAAGATAATAGGCAAACATTGATAGACAAACATCATATTTGGTATCATCTTGCATGCACAGTAATACCCTCAAACTACTTAAAAATTAGAGCACAATAATATACATTTGCCCTCTAATAAAAGGAAGCCTTTCCCATTAACCTGTCTTCAATGGGCAATGGGTGTGTAGATTTTGTGTCAGGCCAAGTCTGTACTATATCATAACTGATAACTTGAGTGGATGACTCAGGATGTTAAATACTTTTAACATGCATAGAAAGTCTCTTCATCATGCCACTTCAATGCTGGTCTACTATAATAATATGTGAAGTATGAATAGTGGTGGAAATTCCAAAGGTAGGGGGGAATGTACCAAATATAAGTTCATATTTTTAGATAGTTATGCCACCCTGACACTTGCACGATTTTCATTCCCACAATGGTGTGCACACTTCGGCATCCAAATGATTAAAGGCTTTGGGAAAGATCATCAGGAGTATGTGAAGAGTGTGGGGGTGCATGCCATGCCGTAGAGAGAATTTTAAAACGTTTGGCACGCATCAATGATCGCCGACGCTGCGCAAACTCAGCATGAACACTGCCGACGGTGCATGTCAATGCGTCATGCTCTTCCTCTTGCTGCCTTTTCTCCTGCTCCTTAAAAAGTAAC